GAGTCCCCAGGGAATAGCCAGTGCACAGGATGGGGGAGAGTTGAGAGATCAAGAGCAACAGAGGCAGAGCTGGCTTGGAGATGAAAGGGCTTTGGGCTCTGCTGGGCTCCGGGTGCTCACAGGTGGGGTCCTGCACAGAGCCCAGGATGGAACAGAGGACAGTTCAATAGTCCCTGCTCCTAGATCCTAAAGAAACCAGGCAGAACTAAAAAGAAAGCAGATGGCAAGCCCAACGGGAAGCTGCATCTGTAGGGGCTCTCTTGTTCACTATCACCTTAAAGTGATTAGGAGGAGGGTGGGCATATGGGCTCTTGGTATTTTTTATAGGCTGTGTGTGTGTGTGTGTGTGTGTGTGTGTGTGTGGGTGGGTGCTGGGGGGAGGAGAGGGATCAGAGGGACCCAATACAGTCCTATGGACTCAGCAGACTTTCTCTGAGAGCCAGCTTAAGCAACAGCTTAGTGGTTCCCCAAATTGGACATTGGCACCTAGCCCTACCCTTACCTTTGTTAACCCTTCTGAGAGAATGTCACAGGACTCATTTCTGCCAAGCTACTCCACTCATTGTTTCCACTGTAAACACACACATACACACACACAAACACAGACAGACACACACACACACACTTTATCTAGAAAACCTAGGTTACTATTTACCTCTTCCAAGAAGTCCACTCTGATCATACTTAGGAAATCCATTGTTCCTAGCTTCTGAACCACTTTCTCTGACCCTCAGTTATAAACCTCTGGGATGGCCTTCTTCTGTGTTAATCAGATCAGACACTGATAAGCTAGGGCACCCCTCTGCCTTCTCAGCTGCCAGCCATGTATGTCTTATGCACAGGATTGGGTGCCCAAGGGTTTGGCCAAGGGTTTGGTTGATTTATTTTCCCTGTACGTCCATATCTGATGCAGCCTGCCCCCCCTGTGCTCTTTCCCACTTCCAGTAAAACCTGTAAGAATGAGGCTGATACCCGCTGTCTCTCTCAGATGCCTCATCTCCAAGTCAGGACTCCCAGCAGCAAGTCTATATATCCCTGAGCCCTGTCTACCCTTCAGAGCAGAGCTGCTTTAGAGCACAGCAGAAGGTACACCGGGCAGGGCCACATCTACCATAAAAGATGAAGTTGCACCCATGTATGGACACCCAATCTCCCCAGCCTTCTCAAGGGTGTGGACTCTGGGTCAGTTCTCACTGATCCCACTTAGGCAGCTGCCTAAAGGGCTTGGGGACAGGGTAAGTATCTGTCCCAGAAAGAAGGTTTGCATTTCTGGAGACCCAGCCAGGGCTTACCAAGGATGGAGAACTGAAAGGAAACAGTCAGTCCTATATAATAAGACATCTCCTCTATGCCAACAGGAAATTGTTGTTGCTATTGTTTCGCTAGGTGGAGGACTGAATTCAGGGGTGCTTTACCTCTGCCACTAAGTTACATCCTTTTTATTTTATTTTTTATTTTGAGACAGGGTCTCACTAAGGTGCCCAAGCTGGCCTTGAATTTTCAACCCTCCTGCCTCAGCTTCCCGGGTCACTGGGATTATGGGCATGTATCACTGTGCCAGGCCCAACAACAATTTTTAGGATAAATATTGTAAACTAAATAGGATTCCAAAGGCCAAGTGTCTTCCCCTCCACTGGCTAATGCAAGTTTTATTCAACAGTTTTATCATTTCGTGTTTAATGAGAATTGGCTACAAATGAGATTGTATATTAGGTGCATTCATTTTCTCACTTAGTCTTTACAATAACTTGTGAGGTAAATTATCAGTAAACCTATTTTACCTATAAGGAATACTGAGGCTTTCATAGGCAGCCAGTGACAGAGAAGAATTTCATTCCGTAGCTTTTGTTTTCCAGCATGGCGCTCTATTGTTTACAGCTGAGATGCACAGACTTTTGGAATTCACAGACCAAAAACATTTCAAAAATGATTTTTAGGAACAAACACAGAACCCTATGCCAACTTTTTATTTGGCCAAAGACATAACAAATATCATCTCCCAGCACCAGGATTTCATAAAAGGGCATTTTCACACAGAAAAATGTGGCAAGGATATAATCTCAGAATAGAGACAGCCTTCTAAGAAAGGACAGTTGGCAACCTCAAACTAAAATATCCTACACTGTTGTGTGTGTGTGTGTGTGTGTGTGTGTTTCATTTCAAGCAGGACTGGCCAAAATTTTGGCATTGCAGAGTAGTATGGGATCCACTGCACTATCCTGGAGCTGCTTCTTCAAGCAAGAAGAATGCCCTTGGTCTACAGGCAAGTAAACTTCTGGAATTTTCCCCCTATGCCCATCCAGGTCCCTACCAAATAAGGTCTGAGGTTGATATATATAATCAGCTACATGCCTACTCCATCTCCGCCAGGTCTTCTGAATTTCACTAACATTTAGTATCTCTTTCAGGGAAGGAAGCCCATCCTTCCCAGCCATCTTCTCTCTTAGATCCAGATCTTTTTTAGGTTTGCATTCCAGGAATACCCAGGTCTCCTGCTTATGCCCTAGTACCCCCACTGATGCTGAGAACAGCAGGTCTACTCCTTATCCTAGTCCTAAGTCAGGCCCTTCCCCTTGCTGGGGTCCTTAGTTCCTCACAGCAGTTCAGTGGAATTAGAGGAACCAGAGCAGACCCCAGGTATTCTGGGAGTGAGCAATGGGAAGAGTATGGAATGTGGGAGCTCCATTCCCTCTCCATTCTTGGCTACCTCTATCAGCCATGCCAGACTCAGAACTACCCCTCCCTCATGTTTCTGTGCCTGTCTCACACTACCTGTGTGAACCATCTGGGCTATAGGGCAGAACCTGACCTGTGAACTCTTGGTCAAAGCTCCAGCTCTACCATTTTCTTGCTATGGGCCTTTGGCAAGTTACTTGACCTCTCTGTGCCAATTTCATGTGGTTTAATAAATGATATGTAAACTATAAAGTGTTGGACACATGTCTCTCACCAAATATAACCCTTACCTCTAAGAAGTTCTCCCATCAAGCTCAGTGAGGTTTTCCTTCTCAAATCTCTCATGATTTCCTGTCCCTAGTTTTGTCCTTTATTCCTGAGCATAATTCTAGCTTCCTCACCACATGGAGCCCCCTCAGGGCAGGATTGGTAGTTCTTCCTTCTCCTCTATTCCCCAGATTGCTGGTATACTACGGACATCCTCCATTAGCACTTTCAGAAAGGGAGACAGGAGAGACTCAGTCTCCCTGTGGTCCCGATTTCTAATGGACATTTCTGAACCTGAAGTTGTCTTAGATGGTTGTGAATAGGTGGTGCTAGCCAAAGTGAGGGTAGGTGAGGTGTCAAAGTAGAAGAATTAGGTGGCCTTGACCTCTATCCAGCCACTGGCAGCAGTTCCCAAAAGTTGTGTCTTGGCTATATCCTCCATCTTTTCCCAGAATTCCCTTCAATGACAGTAGCTAACTTTCAGGGTTCCTTACACATTCTTAGAGTTGACACTTACTGATCTGCTCCCTATCCACCCTTGTGTTGGTGCCCAGGTGTCTTAGATGAATAGAACCTGTCTTATCCCTGGGGAGCTCTGTCCAGAAGGGACATGAACTGCATGTGCTGTGTCATTGGTACTCAGGTTGATGGGAATTCATGGACCATGGGAATGGGGGGCCCGAATATGATCAAGATTTGGGTGGTCAGGAAAGTATTCCTTTCTGGAGGAGAAGATGCCCTGTCATGGGTAACTGAGGATCCTGTGCGGGCTGCCTTCCTGAAACTGGTTAGGGCACACTAGCACCCAGTGGACAAAGAAGTGAGCTAAACAAAGGTCTTTCCCCCCCCTCGTGGCTTGTACACCAGGGCAGGCAGGGCTCTTAGCCAGTTAAGAATATTCCTTCTCAAGGAGACCCAAGGACATTCAAGGATTAGGCCTCCCAGCATCTGTGCAGAGAACTGTCAGAACAGAGCTGCTCAAAAGTAGAAATGCCAGCTACGGGTGATGTCACCACCCTAGTCATCCCCTCCCCCTTGGGAGGTCCTGTGGTCGAAGAACAGCCCCTGAAAGGCTGCACACTTCCCAATTCCCCTATCCTACCTCCAAAATTCCTGCCCTGAGGGTGGGGGGGAGGTGGTCACAGTAGGCTAAGAATTTGGATTAAGAAATCATTGAAGAAAAACTTCATGCTATTCTTCAGAGTTCCGGGATCTTTTAGCCTCCTTCCTGTCAGACTTGGTTGAGGATCCACTTCACTATGAACCAGACTGCAACCTTCCCTGGCTAACCGCTTTCTTCTAGTCCCAATCTATCCCCTCTTCCCATTTCTGAGCTAATCTGGGTCTCAGACTGTCTCAGGGTGTTGGAGAGTAGAGCTTATACATTAAGCTGAGCTAGTGGGATTTGTCCTTAAGCCTGCAGCATGTAACACCGGGAGGGAGGACACCCAGCAGGATTCTTCAGCTGGCCTGAAGAGGGGGTAGCATACGGAGTGGGGGCTGTGCAGCTGCTTATAGGGGGTCTGGATGGAGTTGGAACTCCCCTAGGCTGGATCACATAGGTGATGTCTGGATGGAATGGGAACATAGCGAGAAGGTGATCCAAAGCCAGTCCCCTAGTGCCAGCTCACCACAGGAGCCCTCACACAAGCTGCGGGTTGCAGCCCACTCATCTCGCAAAACCCCCATCAGATCCTCCCGGGGAGAGGCGCGTGCGGGGGGTGGGGGATCCGGCCTTTGGATCCCGAGTTGGTGGCTGCTGCGGACGCATTTCCTCGAAGTCTTACCTCGAAGGGCTGGGTCCCACCCGCGCGCCCTGTGAGTGCCTTGCGAATTTCCCCTACGCCCTTCTGGCTGGGCCGCCGGGAGGCTTCGCATGGGAAAGACCAGCGCGGGGTTCGCCCCCAGCTAGTGTCACTGGAAAACCCTGGGAGCCGCCCCGACGCAGCGCGTTTCCCGGAAACCCCCTCTCCAGGCTGGTTGCGGGAAGGCAGGAGCTCCGCATCCATACAACCGACACGCCTCCCCGGGGGAGGGTCGGAGACCCAGGCAAGAAGCAAAACGGACAGGGAAAGGAGAGCCCAGAGCTCGAAGGAGACTGGAAAACCCCGCCCCCGCCCCCAATCTTGAGGTGGGGATTTTGCAACATAAGCCAAAGCCCTACACTTGGCGGGGGGCGGTCCCAGCCCTTGGTCAAGGAGAGATATTCGAGGGAGCGGGAGTAAAGACGCCTTCTAACCCGGTCCCTAAGGCCCAGAAAGGGTCCACCCCGCGCCCACGGCGGAGCCCGCCCCTGCCCCCCCTCCCGACCCCCCAGCCCGTGCGCCGCTGCCCCTTTAAGAAGCCCAGGTAGGCAGGCCCGGCTGCGGGAGCCGCTCCTATGGCAACCCGCGAGCTGCGGCGGCTTCATGAATATTCCGGGGCGCGGGAGCCCAAGAGCTGCCGGAGGGCGCTCCGGGGGAGGCGGCCGCTGATGTAAGCCCGGCGGGCCCCTGGGCTCCGCTCGGCTGCGGCGGGAGCCCCGGCACCGGCCGGCCCAGCTCAGTCAAGGAGGAGAGGCTAGCTGGCGAGGCACCTGCCACAGAGCCCCGGCGGCGAGACAGACTGACACCCCGCTAGCCCGCGGGACGCTTGCCGGGGAGGCGCAAGAGCAGCGCGCTCTGCGCTCTGGAGCGGTCCCTGGAGCACCGCGACCGCAGCACCGCTTCTGCCCGCGCCCATTGTTCCCCGCGGGGGCGGGGCGCCTGGAGCCGGGCCGCGCGCCGCGCCCCTGAACGCGGGAGGGAGGAATAGGGAGGGAGCGCGGGGTCCCCGCGCCCAGCCGGGCCTGGGAGGAGGCGCAGCGCGGCGAGCCGGGGGACCCGGAGCCGGACTGGGAGCCACCCCGTGGCGCGCAGCCTGCCCGAGTATGGGTTCCTGAGGCAGCCCCGCGCTGGCGGCGAAGGACGCGTCCCCACAGGCGGACTGACAGGCGGGCGGACCTGGAGCCAGTCCCCAGCTCCGCACCCGCACCACTATCCCCGGCCGGGTCCCGGCTCCCGGCACCATGGACAAGCTGCCGCCGTCCATGCGTAAGCGGCTCTACAGCCTCCCGCAGCAGGTGGGGGCCAAGGCGTGGATCATGGACGAGGAAGAGGACGCAGAGGAGGAGGGTGCCGGGGGCCGCCAAGATCCCAGCCGCAGGAGCATCCGACTGCGTCCCCTGCCCTCGCCCTCGCCCTCGCCCTCGCCCTCGGCAGCTGCGGGCAGCACGGAGTCTCGGGGTGCGGCCCTCGGGGCGGCGGACAACGAGGGGCCGGCCCGCAGCGCGGGCAAGTCCAGTACGAACGGAGACTGCAGGCGCTTCCGCGGGAGCCTGGCCTCGCTGGGCAGCCGGGGCGGCGGCAGCGGTGGAGTAGGGAGCGGCAGCAGTCATGGGCACCTGCATGACTCCGCGGAGGAGCGGCGGCTCATCGCGGAGGGCGACGCGTCCCCCGGCGAGGACAAGACGCCCCCAGGCCTGGCGGCCGAGCCCGAGCGCCCCGGTGCCGCGGCGCAGCCCGCAGCCTCGCCACCGCCGCCCCAGCAGCCGCCTCAGCCGGCCTCCACCTCCGGCGAGCAGCCCTCCACGGACACTGCTATCAAAGTGGAGGGAGGCGCGGCCGCGAGCGACCAGATCCTCCCTGAGGCGGAGGTGCGCCTGGGCCAGGCCGGCTTCATGCAGCGCCAGTTCGGGGCCATGCTTCAACCCGGGGTCAATAAATTCTCGCTGAGGATGTTCGGCAGCCAGAAAGCCGTGGAGCGCGAGCAGGAGAGGGTTAAGTCAGCCGGGTTTTGGATTATCCACCCCTACAGCGACTTCAGGTAAGATGCCCGGGTGGGTATCCTGTGGGTGCTTTGAGCGATCTCAGGCATGCTTCCTCTCCCACCCGTTGTCTCCCGGCCGGAGTTAACTTTCCCTCCTTGCGCTGGGAGCTCCAAGAAAAGCCAGGCGCCTCTAGGCTCCCAGACACCCCCATATCTCCTTCTGAACCTCGCTGGGAACTTTTCTTTTCTCGGGCTCCTGTCTTGTCTCTTCTGGCTGGCATTGGAGAAGGCTGAAAAGGTGTTCTGAGTCTGGCCCAGCCTTGCCTGCAGCCAGGATAGGGCTCTGCCACCTTAAGCCACACATTCCACCTCCCCCCTCAAGGCTGCAGAGTCAAGGTGGCCATCCTAGAGGCGCTCCAGGTCATTTAGCCTGCAGAGCACGGCTGTGAAGGGAGACAGACTTCTTAGTAGCTGGGCCAATTCCTTGGGTGCTGACTGCAGACATCAATATCCTCCTGGCACCCTGGGAAACTGCAGCCAGGCCCCTGTATGACTGAGGTCACTGGGGTTTCAGGCCCAGGATAAAAGCCACCTACGTTTTCTCAACCCTAGGTTCAATGCTCCTTGCTGAATGTTGGACCCAGAGCAGGCACCCTGGGCATCTGGCTTCCAGCCTGGTAGTGCAGAATGACCTTGCTTATAGTGGTCAGTGAAGATGCCTGGTGTCCTGACTGATGTGCAGCTGTCCTGTGACCCCAGTCTGGTCCAGTGCCTCATCTCCACCAGAGTGGCCCAAGCTTTAGTAACTGCTAGATCTCTCATGTCAGTTGTGGGTCTGCAGGCAAAAGGTGTGACTGCCAGTCAGCTGTCCTGTGACCCTGCCCCCTCCTACATCACCTGAATCAGATGCCACTGAACAGCTGATGCCAGCTGGGGCCTGTGGGACATATGTATGTAAGAGGGATTGTTGTTGCCTCTGGGGTTGGCATCAGGGATGGCCTTACCCAAGCCAAGGATGAGGTCTTCCATTGCCCCTCTGGGCTTTCCTGACACACCAGGTTGAGATGACAGTCTGGGAAACAGTCATTCTTTTTAGCTGGGTTTCTCTCATTCTCCCTCTCTCTGGACCCTCCCCCCTATTTGTCTCTCTCACCTAACTAGCCTTCTTGCTTGCCTATAAAAATGAGCATTTTGCCAACCTAGAGCCCTCTTTGCAAACTCCAGGGAAACTGGATTTGTAATGAGAGCAAAGCCATTTTCCATCCAATGAGAGAGATTTCTCTGGTTGGGAATGACCAGTCAGACAACACCGGATGGCTTAAAATAGGTGGTGAATAGAGGCCCCTCTCTCACTCTTTTTTTTTTTTTTTTTTTTTTTTTTTTGAGGGACTGCTCTTTCTTTCCTTTTTCTTTTTTTATTCCCAGGGGAAGGGTTGGTTACCGGGGATTAAACTCAGGGGCACTCAACCACTGAGCTATATCCCCAGCCCTATTTCGTATTTTATTTAGAGACAGGGTCCGAGTTGCTTTGTACCTTGCCCTTGCCGTTGCAGAGGCTGGCTTTGAACTGGTAAATATCCTGTCTCAGCCTCCCCGCTGCTGGGATTACAGGTGTGTGCTGCTGTGCCCAGCTCTCTCTCTTTCTCTCCCCCCCCCCCCAGGGACTGCTCTTTCTAACCCTAATATTCAGGCTTCCCAGAGGGCAAAGAAGCCAAGGGGCAGACTGAGCAAAGCTATAGTCATCAGATTTGTGAGCAAATGCTTGACCCTCCCCTCAGAAGCTGTGTCTGGATTTCCAGTGCATGGTTCCTAAAGAATGAAGTCCTCCTGGCCAGGACTGGGACTTGAAGATCCCAAGCTAAGCCAGGGAGGAGTGGGCAGGAACCATGTCTCCTTCATCTCTCTGGGTGTTCTAAGCTTCTCCTCTGAATACCTCAGTAGTGGCAACAGACCATTCCTGTATCATCCACTTCAGATTGTTGAGGGGCCCTTCCCTCCTGTGCTCAACCCCTGCCTGCCTTTGTGGTAGGAAAGTTTCCTTTTAGAGTTCTTGTCACCAAGCTCATTGCCAACCCCAGGCATGCTTAGCCTCCATCAACAAAAAGCACTAATTCGGGACCTTCTGGGCCCTGGGTCTTGCCCTGCTGGCCTCGCTTATTGGGGTGGGGAAGTGCTAGGACTGGGGTAGATTTCATCCAAAGGAACTTCCCACTTTCCTGTTCTTACCTCTGCCCTTCCTGGTGCATCAGTCTGCAGTCCCCCTGCTGTGGAACCTTCCACTTAACTGCAGGCTGCCTGGGACATGGAGTTGGGAGGAGGGTGGGTGACACAGGGAGAGATTGGATGCAACAGGACTGATAAATGGATAGTGGGAAAAAAGGTCCAACTGGACTTTGAATTTGGGTTGGTGCAACAAGCATCAGGGACTGGTGGTGAGAAGTGTGCATCCCTATGTGCAGCCTTGTAGCTATGCAATGGTGGGTCTGGTGGGAAAAAGAAATCCAAGAAAGATCCTCTCTGTGTATGCATGTCTAAAGGGGTGGTGGTCATACCTCTCCTGACTCTAGGCCAAAATAACTAGCCTCATCTTCAGGTCAAAGAGGCAAGGGCCTGGCTAAGTTGCCTAAGCTTAGAGAACTCATCACACAACCCAGACTAATCTACTCCCACTTAGTCAGCACCCAAGCATTGGTTCCTAGAGTTTCAGCCACCAGCGTTGGGCCCTGTATGGAACCAATCATCATTGCTCTCCTCCAGTTTCACCAGAGTTTCTACAAGCATTGCCCAGGCCAGTTGAGGATTTATTCATCATTTTGACGGGCAGGAAGCATTGATCCAGCAGAATTGGTTTAATAAAGAATCGCCAGTAGACCATGATAGATTGAGTTTGTGGTTTAGAGTTCAGAGCTGGCTGTGATGGGCTGCTTCTGGCATCTGTCCTGGGGGAGGAAGACTGGATGCCTTTTCCAGGGCTGGAGTGGACTTGCTATGAGGGACCACCATAACCTGGGCTGTGACTAATAGTAAGCTTTTCTTGACTACCTCTGCTTCTTGTCACCCCCAACACTGTGTCCTACCTACCCACATGGCTCCTCCAGTCTACAAGGACTTTGCCCTCCCCTCCCCTTCTGTTCCCCATTTGCCTTCTGAAACTTATATTTATGGTTAAAGGAAGAGGCCAGCACATGACAATCCCTGAGAACATTGCTCCCCAGGCTTCTGCCTAAGGCTGGCGTGGCTCCTTGGTCCCAAATGGATCCTTCCTTCCTCAGGTGCCATGTCCTAGAAGTCAAGGCTTGGCGGTGGGAACTTGAAACAAATAAAGTGTAGTGTCTAGATAATTCTGTTTTTCCAAGAAGGGGGGAGGGGAGAAAGGGAGTGGGGACAGCAAGGGAAGGTGTAGCTGGTTTTGTTCCCAGAGGCTAGTGAGCCTTTAAGCGTTGGGCTCCAGGGTTGGCCTGGGTGTAAGTACCTAATTTCTGTCTAAGTGGGTGTCTTGGGGGCTGTGAGGGTGAATGTGGAGGCCAGCAGGGAAGTCCCTAGGCAAGATGTCAGTTCTGGGACTTCTGCTGTGCCCTCAAATCTAGCTCAGCCTTGAGAATGGGGGTAGGCAGAAGCTTGGCTTTTCTCATTCCCCTGCCTCTACTATCTCTTGGCCTGAGCCTCCTAAAGCTGTGAGCAAGGGAAGGGAGAGGAAGGAAGGGCCTAAAATATCTTTACCTTGGGGCAAAAACAGCTGGGCTCTGAAATCATGGACACTGGTACAATGGCCTAGCAGGTCCTAGGTATTGTCCTGACTTCCTGGTGCCGGTCCTGAAATACACTTATTGTCACTGCTTATCTCACATCACCTCTCAGCCCTGTCTGCCAGGAGGCCCTGCTTGAGTTAGGAGCCTTCTTTGAGCCTCAGTTTTCACACATAGAAAATGGCAAGTTCTGTTGCCTTTCCCTATGTCAACGGTGGGTACCACCTGGAGGTAAGAAGTCATAGTGAGCTGCCCTCTTCTCCTGGTCCTGAGCAGAGCTGTGGTGGTACAGTGGGCAGCTGGTTCTCTAGCTGTGAAGCACGGCCACCTCACAAGACTGGGGCTGGTGAAGCTCAGGAATTGGTGAAACCGAGAGCCAGGACCCTCAGACAAGCTGGGTAGAGAGGCCTGGTTGTCTCTGTGGCCAGGCTCCAGTACTCTGGTTTGGCGGTAGCATGTGGGGCTAAGGGCTGTCTTCTCCCCTGCCTGGCCTTGTCCTTTAGTACCTCAGTGCTATGGCCGCAGATCTTTAGCCTGTCAGGTAGCCTACCTTGCATAGGGAGCTCCCTACAGTATTGGTTTGTCTGCCTGTCCATCTCCCCTCTTCTCCCAGGCTTTAAGGCATTCCTATTGTGAGCCACACCTTCCTGACCACACTGCTTGGGTCACTCTGGCCACCATCTTCTGTCCCTCACTGGCCACCTCATTGCACTTGGTTGAAGCTTTGTTTGTTATGATGCTGCTTCTCACTGTAGCGTCCTCCAACTCACCCGAGGATTTTGTTGAAATACAGACTCTGATTTCAGTAGGTCAGGGTTGGGATCTGAGACTCTGCATGCCTGATAAGCTCCCACTGATAAGCTCCTAAGTGGTGCTGCTGCCGCCACTGCCCCAACTAGGACCAGCACTAGGCTTAAAGTACTGAGTTTAAACCTCCTGTGCTTTTTCTGTACTTGGCCTGAGTCCCCTGAGGGCAGATCCTATGTCTTCTCCCTTTGGTTTCAGAGCCCTGGGCCTCCAGCACCAAGCTCAGAGTGGTGGGTGAGTGCTGTGACCTGGGTGCAGCCAAGCCGCAGAGGTCTGCTAGCAAACTTGGGGATGTGAGATTCAGTCTGCTTCTCTTCCCTTCCTGCACTGCTGTGTGAACCCTGCTGGCCCTGGATGCTGGTTTCTGGAGTAGGGGTGAGCAGGGAAAGCCATGTGGCTTCAGGACGGTTGTTAATTTATCTCATGTCACCACTTTCTCAGCTTCTGTTCCATCCAGTGGACCAGAGGGCTTGTCCTGGTTGGGGGAGAAGGGACCGGTCATAC